GATATGTTCTTACCTCTTCCAATTTTTGGAAGAGTTTGTGAAGGATTAATGTTAATTCTTTAAATATTTGGTAGAATTCACCAGAAATCACCTGAACCTGGGCTTTTCTTTGTGGGAAATGTTTTAAATACGAATTCAATTTATTTCCTATAGGTTTATTCAGATTTTCTGTTTCTTCTTGTCTATTTTGCTACTTTGTGTCTTTGTAGGAATTTCTCTCTTTCATCTAGGTTATCTAGTTTTTTGGTATGCAGTTTTTATAGTTTTTTTTTTTTTTGGTAACTTTTTATTTTGTAAGATTGATAATAATGTCCTTTCTGTTGGTCCTGATTTTAGTATTGTTGAGTGTTCTCTTTCTCTTGGACAGTCTAACTAAAGGTTGGTGAATCTTGTTATCTTCTTGAAGAATCAACTTTTGGGTTTGTTGATTTTGTCTGTTGTGTTTCCATTCTCTATTTTATTTATTTCTGCTCTATTTATTATTACATTCTGTTTGCTTGCTTTGTGTTTAATTTGCCCTTCTTTTGCTAGTTTCTTAAGGTAGAAGTTTAGGTTATTCATTTAAAATCGTTCTTCTTTTTAAATATAGGTATGTACAGCTCCCTCTGGGCAATGCTTTAGATGCATCCCATAAGTTTTGGTATGCTGCATTTTCCTTTCCATCCATTTCAAAGTATTTTTCTGATTTCCCTTATAATTTATTGACCCATTAGTTATTTAGAAATGTCTTTTGTTTTTTATCCGTAATATTTATTAAAATACTTATTACTGTACCCTAAAATAGAATTATATGACACGGTCCCAGGTGCTTACTTTCTATAAGTTATGACCTTTAGTTTTAGTTTGTCTCAAAAGAGAAAATTTTTTAAAAATGTAGTTAACAGGAAAGTAGGACCTTTACTCTTATTTGTTTGTTATCAATAGACTTTAACATTTATGACGTATAATGAAGACAGACTTAGTATTTCAGAGGCCCTACTGAAATCTGACATCTTTAATATCCTACCTTTATGAAAGAACTTCTCTGTGGAGGGTAAGAAAAAAATCACTGGCTGGTGGGTTTCTTTCCTCAGTGGTAGCAGGTAGGCAGACAGGTCTTCTGAGTGTTTTCCTTAGCGTCTACTATCCCCAGCTCACATATGTGTCACGGGACAGCAAAAGAGGTAAAATAGATAGTGGGTAAAGAGGTATACTGTTTTAAAACCAGCTATTTAAATTTTCATGTGGCTCTATGTCAATAGAAATTAAATTAGAATAGGAAAAAAAGCTAGATGTCTGGGCTATTTTCATAGTTTTCCTTGGAGTTTGTATTGGTGCATGAAAATCATCACTTTTATTTAGCCATATTAATATGCTTCCTTACAGAAGAAATACAAGAGAGCAGAACAATGTGGTTATGATTGAGTTTGTGAAAATTTTATGAATTGGTGAGAATTTCTTTTAGCTCAGGAATAATTAAGGAATTTGGGGGGTTGGTTTTAAGTTTTAGCTTCTGGTTCTTATTTCCTATTCCTAACTTCCCCTATCTGTTCCTCAATTTTATGCCTTATGAAATATATAAAGTTCAGTTGTTAAGGCAACTTGTATACTAACCTACATTTGTATGATACTTTTCTCTTTAGAAAGTACTCTCATATACATTATTATACTTCAGAATTGCAATAATCCTGTGATGTATTTGACTTTCTTGAAAACTTGAGGCGTTAGCTGATACTAAAAGCCAAAACATTGAGCCTATTAAGCTAGAGAAGTGGTGGTATGTGGTTTTAAATGTAATTTTGCAGAAGATGACATAAAATACAGGAACCTTGGATTCATTTACTATGATTTCCTAATAAAAAAATAGTTCCAATTTAAATATTTTGCTACCATGAAAACTAAACAAAGGGTTCTAGCTTTTGTTTGATATTTTTATGACTGTGCTAGGTTTGTTTGAAAAATCAGTGAAATCCATGAAGTACACTGTGTTCTCTTGCTGGCTTCTCAAAGGCACCCACTCCTGAATTAATTAAAAACAGGAATATATGAGGTATTGGATTATAGTGTTATATGATTGATGACTTATTTTACTACGTGAAGAATAGATGTCATTATCCATTTATTTAACTATAGACATGAGTTTATGCTGTAATATATTGCTTTTTAAAAGCTGTAACAATAGCAAATACTGTTTTATTGCAGAGTGATTTCAAATTATTTTTTATTAAAATTATGCAGTTGATGAGATATAAGCCTAATTTAAAATTTAGCCCATAGTGATATTTGGATCAACTAGATCATCCTGCAATTGCTACCACATATTTGGCTCTGAATAAAAGTTTCCTGAGATATATATTATTATATTAGAATAAAAAGAGGAGGATGATGCAGGATAGAAAAGCTTTAAAAGACCAGTTTTTGAAAAATTGAAACTAACTTGTGAGTTGTACTGAAGCAGCTAGCTTTTATTTAAGGTAGTGGTGGAAAGGACAGATTTATTTTTTTCCCAGAGCCTTGGCATAATCTGTCTCATGTCAAAGACACCCCATAAAATGCTAAATACAGTTGGTAGCCATCATATGACATAGGATTGGTAAATGTGGCTGATTTGCATTGATTTTCTTTCTTTTTCTTTTTCTTTTTCTTTTTTTGAGACAGGGTCTCTCTCATTCTGTTGCCCTGGCTACAGTGCAGTGACATCATCATAGTTCATTGCAACCTCCAGCTCCTGGGCTCAGGCAGTTTCCCTGTCTCAGCCTCCCAAATAGCTAGGTGTGCACCACCACACAAGCTGATTTTTCTATTTTTTATAGAGATGGGGGTCTCACTGTGTTGCTCAGGCTGATCTTTTTTGTTTTTTGAAACACAGCCTCACTGTGTTGCCCAGGTAAAGTGCCATGGCATCAGCCTAGGTTACAGCAACCTCAAACTCCTGAGTTCAAGCAATCCTCCTGCCTCAGCCTCCTGAGGAGCTGGGACTATAGGCAGCACACCAGTGCCTGGCTAATTATTTCTATTTTTAGTAGAGGCAGGGTCTTGCTCTTGCTCAGGCTGGTCTCGAACTCCTGGCCACCAGCGTTCTTCCTGCGTTGGCCTCCCAAAGGGCTAGGATTACAGGCGTGAGCCTCTGTGCCTGGCCAAAGTTTTGGTTTTCTTGACTTAACCATTATACTTAATTAAGATCTCATCTTTATATGGTGAATATGATGCTAATAGTCATTTCAAATAAATCAGATATTTTATATCCAAATATTGACCTTTTGAGTTTTGCTATCTAGGAAGGCTTCTACATTTATTCCAGTGATTTGCCAGTGTTTGAGTTTTGCATTTTCTCTTTCAAAATTGCCGTTAAAGCCTTAGCAATATTCCTGTCAGTATGCTGAAAATGTAACATTCTTATTCTCTGAGGATGATTTTCAGAAAGAGCTTGACATCATTCAGAACCTTGTCAGATAAGTAAGGTGGATAATCAGTTTGTTTGGGAATTTAGAGAATGATGTATAGCTCTAAATAATGAGACATATTTTGTTATGGCTTTGTGAAAACTGGCTCCACTGGTACTTCCTAAAAAAGCTTTGAACAGTGGCCTCATTGGAATAAATGTGCCCCCTTTCAAAGTGATTGCATTACAGAACATTTATTTGATGTATAAGTTCAGGTTCATGTATTAAAAAATTTATCATCTTTACCTCATAGTTACATCTTATATAAGACCTTGGAAAGGTTTCAAAGCTAAACAATGAAGAAGATTATTTTGCCAGTCACCTAATAATTGTGCCTCAGCAGGTAAATGAATAACAGGGATATTGAGAGGATATTTTATGATACCAGTGGGAGCAGGTAGAAATCTCTGAGACAGTAGGGTTATAATTACTAGGTTTCTAAAGGCAAGAGAAAATTATCCTGAAGATTTCAGGGACTTCCTGTGTGTATGTTAAGGCTCAACAAATTTGAAGAGGGAATTTATAGCCAAATAGCTTGAATGTTTATAAACACCACAATATATTTGGTGTATAAAAGTTATACTTAAAATAAAAATATATAAAATTTATATGTTACATAAAAATGTGTATTTTATACATATATTGTAAACATTTAAAAATAAAAAAAATAGATGAGACAAAAGCTATTTATAATTACACCTATCAGAAATCCTTACTGACCTTGTTTACTTCCATTCATCTATGTATTGTTTTATAAGATCATAATGAAGGCGGCGGGTGGCTTCACCCTGTATCTTCTACATCTGGGAGGCAGTGCGGCAGGATTGTCAAGTCAGAGTTCAAAACCAGCCTGAGCAAGAGTGAGACCCCGTCTCTATAAATAGAAATGAAATTAATGGCCAATTAAAATTATATATAGAAAAAATTAGCCAGGCAAGGTGCACATGCCGTAGTCCCAGCTACTCGGAGGCCTGAGACAGAAAGGATTACTTGTAGTCCCAGGAGTCTGAGGTGTGTGTGTGAGCTATGCCGCATGCCATGGCACTCACTCTAGCCTGGGCAACAAAGCGAGACTCTGTCTCAAAAAAAAAAAAGATCATAATGAACATACAATTTTTAATATTGATTTTTTACTTATTTTATTGTGCAATTATTTTCTCAATGCAATAAAAAATTCTTCATAGACAAAATATGTAATAGCAATCCTTTTTTTTTTTATTTTTAAAGGACCACATTTTCTGCTAAGTAATAGCAATCTTTTAGTTTTTTATTATTCAGCTCTATATGATTTATATAGTTTACTGTTAAACTAAACCCTATTATTGAATAAATACTACTAATAAAACTTACATTTTTTCTTCTCTCACATTCATGGTTTCTAAAGTATCAGAAAAAATATTATTAGGCAAAGACCCAGAAAGCATTTGATGGGATCATGCTTTCTTAGTTCTATAGACTTCACTTATTTATTATTTGTAAATGTTCTCTTTGCTAACATGCAGTCATAATCACTTTTCTATACACAGAACTAAGCAAAACAAAACAAAACAATATTACTTCTTCCCTCTCTCACTAAAGGTGGTTGGAGGCAAAGTAAAGAAGCCTGGTAAGCGTGGTCGGAAGCCAGCCAAAATTGACTTGAAAGCAAAACTTGAGAGGAGCCGGCAGAGTGCAAGAGAATGCCGGGCCAGAAAAAAGCTGAGATATCAGTATTTGGAGGAGTTGGTATCCAGTCGAGAAAGAGCTATATGTGCCCTCAGAGAGGAACTGGAAATGGTAAGAACATGTTGATAAATATATGAAAAAAATCAACCTCAATTTAGCAGTCAAAGAAATAATACATTAAAACATGAAGATACCAGTTTTCACCTATCCAGTTGTCAAACATTATAAAGAATATTAATCTGTTAGCCAAGATGTGAGCAAATAAACATTTTCATACACTGCTGGTGGGAGTGGAATGTACATGAATATTTCATTGAGGGATTATTTATGATAAAAGAAAATGGAAAATAACCCAGATGTACAACAATAGAGGATTGGTTAACTAAATTATATTCATATATGGGATTGATTACAGCCAGTAAAAATCACAATACAAATATATTTACTAATGTAGAAAGGTATTCCCAAAAAAAAAAAAAAAAAGGTATTCCCAATATATAGCTAAGTAGAAAAAGCAACATAACAATATGTAACTATGCATACCATACCATTTGTGTTTAAGTGAATTATTTATTTTTTATTCATTCATTCATTCAGACTTGGGGTAGTAGCTGTGGAAATGTAAGACAGTAGATGAAACAGAAGTGAAACCCCTTACTGTGAGCTCAGGGAGGAGGTGACAGGTAGGAGTAGAGAGATAGTACTACCATGATCATTACAAAACTGGGACAGGCTACCTCAGGTTTTTAGAAGGTAAGAGAATAAAGTTGGGACATGAAGAAAGGGATTTTGAATTTGACCTGTGCCATAAATTCTTTCTTAGCTTCTTCAGTGTAAGCCACTTGAGGGCAGAATCTTTGGTCGGCTTCGTCTGTGTATACCCCCAAAGCCCCTAGTACACACTCTGGCAGATAGTAGATGTTTAATAATTGTGAAAACAAGAAAGGAAAATTACTACAATTTATTTCTTTATTTTGGGAATACAAAAATAGTACTGTGACAATTATAAAAAAGAGAAAAATTCTAATTAGTGGCACATTGTGAGGAGATGTTCTTTTAAAAAGGGCCCTTTTAAATCTGAGCAACACTCCAGAATATAACAAGAAGATTCAACAGCAGTTTTTCCACCCTCTTCTGAAAGATGCATACACATCCTAGGTTATAAATACTTAATATCAATACCATGGAAGGTGGGATTCCCAGTAGCCACCTTGATCACTGGTCATGGGAATTCTTATGTCTAGGATTTCTACCAGTGGTTTGTGAACTCTGAGGAGTAAAATTTTACTTAAATATATTTTACACATTTCAGTACAAGCAGTGGTGTATGGCAATGGACCAAGGAAAAATCCCTTCTGAAATAAGGGCACTACTCACTGGAGAAGAGCAGAGCAAATCTCAGCAGAACTCAAGCAGGCATACCAAGGCTGTGAAGACAGAGCCTAATAGCAATTCCTGTGAGTACAGTCCATGGGAGAATTTATATTTAAGGGAGTCTCTCAAGATGGGGTTTCTACTACTGTCCTTAGTATGTCTTTAAATAAAATATAATATTGACATCATTTGTTATACACTAATATATGCAATGGCATTAGATTCTAAATATTGAAATGCATTTTAAATGAAGTCTATAAAGAGCACCTGATAAAATTATGGAAATTTTTTTATTAGCTAAACTTAGTCCATAAATGGGAGTGGCACTAATCTAGTTTTTGTTAATAGTACTGCCTTTTATTTGCATTTTGATTTGTGGTTTACAAAGTACTTTCATTCATATTTATCTTAAATATTTCTTCTAGTAATTGTGTCAAGGAATTATACTTCTTATTTTATAGATGCAGAAATAGCAGAGGGGCTGGGTAAGGTGCCCAGGGTCACACAGCTGTAATGGTAGAACTTGTCCTCACCTAGCCTAGGCTCTTTCTAGCCCATTCTGTAAGGATTTTTTTTAATTGAGGCAAAATTCATATAACGTAAAATTAACCATTTTAAAGTAAAGTTCAGAGGCGTTTAGTACATTCACAGTGTTGTACAACCACCACCTCTATCTACTTACAAAACATTTAATCACCCCCAAAAGAAAACCCTGAACCCATTAAGCAGTTGTTCCCCATTAGCCTCTCCCCACCCCCAGCCCCTGGCAATCATGAATCTGCTTCTCTCTCTATGCATTTGCCTATTCTGGATAGTTCATATAAACAGAATTTATATAGGATGTGACCTTTTGTGTCTGGCTTCTTTTACTTAGCATAAGGTTCATCCACACGGTAGCATGTATCAGTATTATGTTCCTTTTTATGGCCAAATAATATTTCTATATACATGTTTACCACCGTTGTTTATCCATTCACCCATTGATGGACATTTTTTTCTACCTTTTGGCTATTGTGAATAGTCATGTTATGATTGTGTGCATAGAATATTTGTTTGCATACCTATTTTTAATTCTTTTAGATATATACCGAGGAGTCAAATTGCTAGGTCATATGGTAATTCTATGATTAACTTTTTGAGGAACTGCCAAACTATTTTCCACAGTGGCTGAAACATTTTACATCCCTACCACCAATGTATGACTGTTTCAATTTTTCCACATCTCACCAACCCTTATTTTCCACTTTTTAAAGCTATAGCCATCCTGGTGGATGTGAAGTGGTATCTCATTGTGGTTTTGATTTGCATTGCCCTTATAATTAATAATGTTGGGCATCTTTCCATGTGCTTCTTGGCCATTTGTATATCTTCTCTGGAGAAATGTCTAAGTCCCTTGCCTATGTTTTGACTAGGTTGTTTTTCATTTTGTTGTAAGAGCTCTTTATTTATTCTGAATACTAGAACCTTGTCAGATACATGATTTGCAGATATTTTCTCCTATTCTCCCATTCTCTAGGTTGACTTTTCACTTTCTTGATAGTGCCCTTTGATGCATAAAAGATTTTAATTTTGATGAAGTCTAATTTATCTATTTTTTATTTTGTAACTTGTGCCTTTGGTGTTATATTTAAGACTCCATTGCCAAATCCAAGGTCATGAAGATTTACCACTATGTTTTCCTCTAAGAATTTTATGGCTTTAGCTCTTTTATTTGTTGACCCATTTTGAGTTAATTTTTCTACATGGTGTGAGGTAGGGCTCCTCGTGTTGCATGTGGGTATCCAGTTGTCCCAGCACCACTTTTTGAAGAAACTGGAAAGATTTTACAATGAAGATGTCATGTGCTGATTTCTTCATTGTTGAGTTTACTCTGGGAGCACTTGAAATAGTTATAAGGAAATCTCATAAATTATCTTTTAGAAATTTTGTATAAAATTGAAGAAATTGGCATTTTGATAACTTTCCCTAGATAAGGTAATATTTACCTTAATCTAAACTAATGAGAAAAGCCAAATCAGACTATATCTTTCAGACTATATCTTTAAAAAGTACCCTTCCTATAGATACTAAACTGAAAAAAATTCATACATTTAAAAATAGATTTACCAAACTTCATCGATGTTAAAAACATTCCTACAACTGTTGTGGCTCATGCCTATAATCCTAGCACTCTGGGAAGGTGAGGTGGGAGGATCACTTTAGGCCAGGAGTTTGATGTTGCAGTGAGCTGTCATGACGCCACTGCACTCAACAAAAGGCAACACAGTGAGACTCTGTCTCAAAAAAAGAAAAAAAATTCTTACATTGGTAACTTTATTTTTCAGGGTGAAGCTCACATAAAACAATGAATCAGTGATTGAAGCCAATATCCTGATTCCCATGGAGGACGGACGGATGGGCAAGAGCGTACTTCTTGGCTCCATTTACTACCTACTGCTCAGTAGTCATCTCTGTAAATCCACAATTTCTACCAAAATGTTTGATCATAGGTCTCAAAGGATCTTGCTTTAACTTTCAACACTTAGAAATTTATAAACATTCAGGCTTGTTTTGGTTGGGATTGCCACCCATGACATTTAACATGTTGTGATGCTTGAAAACACGAGTAGAGAAAAATGGGTGAAGATTATATTTTTGCACCTTAGCTCCACATTGCTTTATTGGTTAATTTATATTCTTTCCATGTAATTCATGTAATTATATGTGTAAATGTGTTTAGGTGTCACCTCCTTTCCTGTTTTTGATTGCCCTACAAAGAGAAACCAAACGAGCTGATTACTGACTAGAAGTTGTCAGCCTTTATGGACCTAATCATATATCTTTATATTTACTTGAGCAACATTTATTTTCTGCATGAACTATGATTTCTCCTGTGAGCCATTCCAGCATAAGCTGTGAATATGTATTAACAAATATATACATTTCTATTTTTATAATCCTTAATGACATGCCTGTTATAAATAATATATGTTAACAAAATCTATCAGGAAAACCCTCAAGACAGCCTCTATTTAAAATTTTTTTGTTTTGTTTTGTTTTTTTTGCTGTCTTCAACTATATTTATAAAAGTTTGCTAGGGCCAAATCCATACTTGGAGAGTAATTTGTCAGATTTTATTTTTAAATGAGAAGTAACCTTTCAGGCATTTCAGCAGCATACATTCGCTTGACAACCTAGAGTATGTATGTATGTGTTTCTATTGTATGTCTATACATGTGTGTGGGGGAGGATAGAAGTAAATGTTCGCACATATTTTCCTGCGTACTCAAGTAAATCGGAGGATTTTTCTGAAGAAAATACGATGAAACTAAGTGCTGAGGTTAGAGTTTTTGCCTTGAGATCTGAAACAACACAAGGGACAAATTGCTGGTAGATTATGGCTGTAGCCATAACCAGAACACTTAGTTTCTTCCCTGACATGAATTTCCTTATGAATGTGTCTGAGCCGGAAAGAAACACACTGGGCATGCATCTGGTTCAGCCCTGGCTCTGCCTCCACTGAGAAGTGAAGCACTGACGCTGGAGTTGTGCGCAGCACCACAGCTCGCGGGCCTGGCCAGAGGTGCAGAAGGACAGAGTAGCTCTTTCCAGTCCCCATCACAGCTACATTTACTTTCTTCCTGACCACCAAATGGAGTGATGGTTGAGGAATCAAGGTCATAATATGATACACTCAGACCTAGAAAGCTTTTGATTTCCCCAGTGAGACACTTTATCACTTTGTCTTCTCTTTGCCTTGATTAAAACAGGAGTCATGTTTTCTATTGCTGCTAAATTATAATTGTTCTTCACTCTAATGAAGCAACTATTTGGCTTTCAAACAAAATATGTTTTCTTATAAACTGGCAGTTTAAGAGGAGGCACCATAATCTAGATTGTCTTTGAGGTAGAAGATGAGATGGACCACATAGTTGAAGATTATGAGGTACTTTTTTCCCCCTTCTCTCAGGCTGTGCATTTGAATAAAGTGCCCCCTTAGCCTGAATTCCTAAAGACCTCTTGTGTGTAGGTTGCAATCTCTAATTTACTTCAGTCTAGTTGTGTGTGACTACTGATAAACCACTAACCCAGCTTGTTGGGTCTGTCTGTGTTTTGGAAGATTGGGGGTTTAAGAGTATTTAATGTCTTTTTAGGATCATAAATAGAAGTAGATTAAGGAATGTTGATATTCAGGCCTTCAAAATTTAAGTGTTTTAAATATAGTGTTTAGATTGTAATTGGGTATGTTTTTGCCATCTGGTCTACTCAATTGTATATTTTTATTTTGCAAAACAACCCAAGACTTTATGTTGCTTTGTTCAGTACCTTTTGAATTCCTCAGAAGAGTTGTTTTCAAAGTAAACATTCCAAAATGAATGTGACTCTTCGATGGAATGTCTCTATTGTGCTTGAAGTATTTCTTTTCTGGTTGTAATTCTAAATTACAGGGTCATTTGAGCTCCCCCCTTCCCCCGCCCAATCCCAGTATCTTTACAAGAGCAGTGATTTTGTCCTCAGGTAGAGGATGTATAATTTGGGGTGAAGGTTAATTACAATTCATTTGGGTTTATTTCTAAACCTGTCTATTTCGTATTTTAGAGTAGATCAAACCAAAGGAAAGCTCCTTGGTCTTAAAAAAGAATGTTTTGATTGCTTCGGGTATTGTGCTGGCTGCACACTTTGGCCACTTTGAAGCATGTTCATGAATGTCACTGATTAAAACAGCTGGAGGATTTCCTTTCCCCTTCCAGTTAAGGAGCAGCATACTGAAATCCTGGCATCTCGCACTCACCTGTGATAACAAGAAGGCAGAGAGAATCAGGGAGTTCAGGCGAAGGTGCTGTTCTCCTTGCTCTCTGAGTAAACAGAGTAACATTTTCTTTTCCTTTTTTCCCCCAAAGAGAGATAAGGGGGAAAAACATATTTGTATTTAGACCAGTCATAGTCTGTCATTATTTTAGCATCAACCTGCTGTAAATTAGAGCAACTGAATATAATATGGAGTAAGTTTGACCAGGTCAACTTTTAGTATATAGTTGAAATTCTTTAAAAAAAAATTTCTATTTTATCTAAAATCTATTATATTTAAATCGGAACTATCTTATTACAGCAGATTCATATCAGTTTAACAGCTAATTGACAGTAGTTATCAGCATCACTATGTAGCATTTTATCATCTTTGAATTATGATAGCTTTGATTTGGCTAATTATAAAAAATACAGGTTTAAACTGGACTTACGTACTTTTAGTTAACTTAAAGGCAAAGAAGATTTGAAAACATAAATGCTATATTTCACAAGAAATCAGTTGCTTATTATCAATTACATATTTAGTTTTTAAAAGGAGGACGATTACTATTAAACCACATGGTATTTTGGAAGCACTGAAGGAACTTTTCTCTCTGAAGAGCATTGTACAATGATATTTTTATGGAAAATAAAATAAAATATCTTCAGAGACATCTCCAGTTGTCTGTTTCACAATACTATTAAAATATGGCTGTATAAGCACACAGTTGAAAAAGAGTGTGGGATTTAAACAGAAAAACTGGTCTTGGGTCCATTGTCGGAGTCATAGTGAAATATTTAATCTCTCAGCCTACTTCCTCATCCATAAAAAGAGAGAAGGAGAAGAATTTTCACAGAGTAATTGGTAGGCTAAATAGAAGTTATGAAAAACTGCTTGTTAGATCGTAAAGAACTACGTTAAATTTAAACACTCACATTAAGCCTGTGTTTGACTATCAAGATTTAAATCACTAAGGATAAATATATTTATTTAACGGGCAGGAATCTAAATATGTAGTGTTGTAGGTATCACATCTCCCAAGTCTTTTTTTTTAGCCATTTCATATGTCTATCCTTGGAATGGTATAGTTGGAGGCTCTTTTTAGCAATAATAGCCTTCTATTAATTAGGCTAATTTTAAGAACAACTAATGTTCCAACTGGCAGTATCATCCTATAATTATCTGCATAGGGCAGGCTTTCAGGCTTCTAGGTAACTTGGTTCTCTTTTTCCCTATTCCATCCATTTTACTTAACTACAGGGTGGTTATGACTCAGAGCCAGGACTGGGACTGCCATGTAAGGTTGTGCTGATTGTGCACTGTACAAAGGTTTCCAATAGAGGAGGTAAATGGGCTTAAAATCTAGTTCACATTTCCCTCAACAATCTATGAATGGAGGACTGGGCACCTGACATGTGTTTACCAAGGGGTACATGTGGCACAAATCTGCCCCAAAGAGGTATTTTTTCCCCAATATTCTCAAGGGTGGGGGTACCTTTTTAAATCCCTCCACCAGGGGATGCCTTTTTTGAAATGTGCAAAATCATGGTGTATTGTAGCTGGCTTTTGGTGGCTCCCCAGGGAGCCAATCTATTCCTAACTCCATCAGGTCGGTAGCTTTTAACTAGAATGGTGGGAGTATTTACACAATAGAAATCAGTAATGCTACAAATTGTGGACCCCCCTACCCCAGGAGTCAGTTCTCATACACCACTGAAAAAGGCCCAGTGTAGGCTAGCATAGCCCTGACTAGAGCAGGCACATTTAAGGCCCCAAAGGTATATGATTAAAGGACACATGGGGCTGGAAAAATTCTTTTTATAAGGTTGTAGGCAGTTTGGAGATGTCTATATCAAATTCAGATTGGTTCACAGACAGTTGTGACTCAGAAACTGTTAGGAGTCACAGAGAAATACCTAGTCTGACCTAGAAAAGACTAGGAGGGAGTCTTAGAGCAAGCCCTGGGGTCAAGAAGTAGACAACTAATTCACCTACTATGTTTTGACACTGCCTCAAACACTCCTGGCTAGATGGGACAGTGAGCTCTGGGGGACAGACCATTTTGATTCTGTAGTAAGATAAACATTTGGGCAGGAAAATTTCCCTGTGATCCACCCGAATCCAATCCAATCTTGCCATGCCTCAGCACCCGCTTCTGGGGGAATATAGCAGTGCCTGGCATGCACTTTATAAACCCAAGCCACACGAGGAATCAAGTCAGCAGGCTGGACACAACTCCAGTGCATAGGCTATATAAGCTCAAATAGCCCAGAACCAAATAGGCCAAAAGGCCCTCCCAAGCCCACACTGAGTTTTGGATCTTACCACTTTGGTGGAACAAAGACCGTGTCTGTAAGCATCACAGGAAAAGAAGGTACAAGATTTATGGCAATAAGTAAATAATGACCCCTCAACCTGTCCTTTCTCAGGCCAGGATCGAGCTGGTACATAGATTGACAAGAGCATTGAAAAAGTAAGGAGGGGCTGGGTATAGTGGCTCACACCTGTAATCTTAGCACTCTGGAGACCGAGGCGGGAGGATGACTTGAGCCTAGGAGTTGGAGGTTGCACTGAGTTATGATCATGCCACTGCACTCTAGCCAGGAAAAAAAAAAAAAAAAGTAAGGAGGAAAGAAAACAAAACAAAAAAATGATGGCTAGGCTTTCTCCCAGGAGGAAGATAGTTACATAGGAGCCAAAACAAGATGAAAGCTAACAGTGCCTTCTCCCCCCTTGCTGAAGTAACCCCACTTTTTTACCACTCCAGACCAAAAAAGAAAAACCCATGTGCCCGGGAACATTTTCAACAAGGCAGAGGGAGAACTCTACCTAGTAATGGCCAATAAAATGTCTTTAAAGCTGAATTATAGCAGCATCACTCTTCCTGGAGTGGGGCAGAGTGAAGGGCCCGGGGGTGGCAGGGAGAAGGGAGTCCTGGGTACAAACCAGAGGAACACGAACACATGTGAGAAACATCCACAAATCAGGGCTCAGGACATGGTGACTCGTTTAGATGACAAAGGGGCACCTACTAGACATATTTGAAATATGAAATAGGGAAAGAGTGTTCCAAATACAAAGGGGGTTCCTTTAAATTTTCACTCTTCAGTGAAATTAATGTTTTACTGATCATTAAGCATATCATTATGTGCATAGGTCTGGCACAAAAACATCAGCTGAAATGTGCTCATCCATTTATTACCAGGTAAAGTGAAAACAGAGTATCTCTTCAAGTATAATATGTACCAATGGCATTTTGAGTAAACATGGCTTTTTAGGAACATTTTTTTGAGTAAAAGGTAACCACTTGTGCACTAAGTATATGTTTAATAACTGACTGTTGGTTGGGGTGGCCTGATTTGTAGTATTTGCCAATTTCTGGGGTGGAAATATTCCCATCAGGGTTCATTTCAAGCTAATGTGTTGTCAGCTAGCTCCCAAAATTTTTGAAAATTTAGGATTGGCTCTTACAAGCATGTTTGAACCAGCCTCATACCATTGGATAACCTATATGGCAGGCATCCTCAAACTACGGCCCG